ATATATATATACTATCATATATATATATATATATATATATATATATATATATAACAACTGTCAGATACATATATGAAAATATGTTTGTATAAGTAACTATTTTAATAATTTTGCTTATTAGTGATGGCCTCAACATTTCTTTAACAGTGTGAATTCAATTTTTACCTAAAGTATTTACAAATTAATAATATCGCAATTCTAATAATTGGCGAGATATATTTTTTATTATTTCTTCATTTTAGTGCCTCAACAAGGAAAGCTTCGAATAACCACAGAGTTTGGAAAAATGACAGTTGAACCAAATGAAATATGTGTTCTTCAGGTAAGATTAGTAAAGAAGGTACCAGTGATTTAGGGTCCACGTAGCGATGGAGATTCATTGATGAACAAATTTAACCTTACTTCCAGGCCTGTTCTCCGGTGGGAAAGCAGTAAGTCGACAGACTTACTATGCTAAAATCCGGGGTCCAATTCCCCGTGGTGGACACAACAAATAGCCTAATGTAACTTAGAATATAAAATTACTAACACACTTACTTATTCCTGCTAAATTCTAAAAAATAAATCACAAATGTTAGAGAAATGGATGTTGTCTTCTACATCATACGTGACAAAAAAGGCTTACTTTTAAATAAAACAAATGTGAGCTTCACTTTATACTCTTACATATTATTTCTAGTGTTTAAGAAGCTACGACAATTTATTCAAGTGCAAATAACTGATGTCTCATGAATCTATTTCTACACACACAAAAAACAGCTTTCTATCCTTTTGAGTTGCTACACCTAATTCAGTAACTATAATTTCCAGTTTTGTTTGAGGCAGATTTCATTATTCATATTTAATTTTGATTTATGGTTAATGCAAATTTTTTATCGCTTTTATGTGAAGCTTCCCTATAGGAAGTCCTTAAAATTCGCAAATACAAATAAAAAATAACAGAAATAAGTATGGAAACATAAGCAAATAAGTGTAATGACAATTAGATAGTGAATTTATTAATGGTACAAACATTTAAGATATATATATATATATGGCAACATCATAGGTAGGCTTTTAAAAAAGTTCAGTTATAATCGTCATATAGACCTAGTTCAAATGTTTTCCTGTTTGGAGATATTTATTAAGCTTATGTTATATTAAACACTTTACATGAACATTTTAAGGTGGCAGACAAAAACAATAAACAGTTTATGGCTTAACAGCCCCACCACTTTGTGTACTGTTAATAAAAGTAGGTTACATTTGCAATTATTTTCTTTTTTACTGAAAAAATTACTTTCAAGTTAAGAAAAAATAATCAATTTTTAAAGTTTTTTGCATATTTGGTTTCTTAATTTAACCAGTAATTTCGATATTAGTAATATTGTATTTAGCTTTAGTATTGACCGATTAGACCAACTCAGGACTTTAAGAATGAGTTCAGTTTTAAGTTTCTTTTAACTGATGTTAATATGCAAAATTTTGAAAACCATTTTGATCCATATAGAGCATCCAAGGTAGAGTCAGTCCTTTTGGCAGTGGGTTGGCATCCTCCTTGATAACTTCGTTCAACTTCTGGTAATTAATGCAGAATCTTGAGGATATTTATTTTTCATAACTGCATTAGGTGGTACCAAAGGAATAGTTCTCACTTCTGTCACTCTTTGTTCCTTCATGGCC